CCCCACCCATGCACCAGGCCTCTATCCTATATAGTAAAAGGGTAATATGCAAACTGACCCTAACAGCAGAAAGACTGGGAATGACTGGTCACTATGACACACACTGACCACCATGGGGCAGACGCTCAATGCAGGAGCTGCCCTCTGGTGGTCAGGGCGCTTTCACATGGGGAGCTCTGCTCAGCCACAAGCCAGGCTGATGGCTACCATTACAGCGGTGGTGGTGGGAGCCTCTCCTGCCTCCTCAGCAACGCTAAGGATGTCCGACTGTAGTTTAGGCCTGCTCCCTGTGGGCAAGTGGACATCCCCCGAGGGCTGCCGGGCTGCCAGAGGGATGTCTGATTGCCATCTTAGGCCCAATCCCCCGGGGAGTAGGCCTAAGCCAGCAAGTGGTCATCCCCCGAGGGGTTCCAGACTGCGAGAGGGCACAGGCTGGGCTGAGGGACCCCCCCCTCCCTGAGTGCACAAATTTTTGTGCACCGGGCCTCTGCCTCTAGTATATATATAAAGTTGATGACCTGTGTAGATAGCAGGCTGACAGCTGGGAGCGGAGGCTTGGGGGGAGAGCCTGGGTGGAGGGGTGGGAGGTGGAGAGACTAAGCATAAAAGAATAAAAAAGAAAGAAAAAACTCATGGACATGGACAACAGTATGGTGATTGCAGGGGTGAGGTGTGGAGGGAGGTAGAGGAGCATATAGTGGGGATAAATGGTGATGTAGGGAGACTTGACTTGGAGTGGTGGCAGGTGATGTATTGTAGAATTGTGAACCCTGTAATTTGTATAATTTTATTAACCACTGACTTGTTTCACTTAGCAATGAACATAGGAATATATATATATATATATTTTTTTTTTTTTTGTGCCCTGACTGAGAATTGAACCATGACCTCTTGGTTCCTGGGATAATGAAAAGTAAGGTCCTGAACTAATTTGAACCAATGTGTAATCCAGTTCCCACCTTGCTTTCTCTGACCTGCATATAATCTTTCTTACCTTCTCTCTTTAACTCCAAATTTATGAAAAGAAACTGCAAACTATTATTCTCAGGGGCATTTGAGACTTGCTCCCCCACATATGTCATCAAAAAAAGCACCCCTTTTTTGTTCATAATTTTACCAAATTTAATTTCAGTTCATTGATTTGGATTGGCATTGGACAAACTAAACTTATTTCTTTAGGATTGTTAAAAAGCAGAATTCAACCCAGTAAACATAAAGATCTAATTGACTTTATTGAATGATTCATGAATCCAGAAGCATCCCATCTAGTAAATAGAGGTACTCTCAGGAGTTATGCAAAATGGAAGGGTATTAATGGCAGGAGGGTGGGAAGGAAGTCATTAGTAAAACAAAACAAAAAAAAGTATTGCTTTAGGCCAGGTAATCAACTTAAAAAAAACAAAACTTAACTTATTGGGTAATGAAAAGCCAGACAGGTTTGGATGTTTCTTACATCAACAAAGTAAAATATAAAACAAATGTGAACAGAGATAAAGTTTGGGAGGGATACTGTACAATATGCCCGAGAGAGGGTTAATGTACTTTTGTAAGAAAAGTGTACACCTAAGAAAAGTTAACTTTGCATAGAAAAATGGGCAAAGGACATCAAGATAAGTCACAGAGGTGTTTAGATGTTCTAGTAAACATGAGAAACCTGGCAAAGATTTTTTAAAAGAGAAAATGCTTACTGTTGCTATAGATGCACTACTTTTGTACATTGTTGGGGGAAGAGAGGAGTATATAAGCTTGTGCTATGCTTTCTGAAAGGCAGCTTAGCAGAGCCTTTGAAATTTTTATGTCTAATAATTCTACTTAAGAGTCTATCCCGCCCAGCTGGCATGGCTCAGTGGTTGAGCATCAACCCAGGAACCAAGAGGTCACGGTTCGATTCCCAGTCAGGTCACATGTTCAATGCCCAGTAGGGGATGTGCAGGAAGCAGCCGATTGATGATTCTCTCTCATCATTGATGTTTCTCTCTCTCTCTCCCTCTCCTTTCCTCTTTCTCTAAAAATTAATAAAAACATTTTTTTAAAAGAGTCTATCCCAAGGAAATATATATATATCTAGTGTGTGTGTGTGTGTGTGTATGAATATCACTATTTGTAGTGATAAAAAACCTGGAAACTATCTCAATGTCCATCCTTAGGGAAATAATGACTAGCTTGTGGTAAACTCATACAATAGAGAGTTAAGTCACTAAGAGTGGGAATTGCCGAACCGGTTTGGCTCAGTGGATAGAGCGTCAGCCTGCGGACTCAAGGGTCCCGGGTTCGATTCCGGTCAAGGGCATGTACCCTGGTTGCGGGCACATCCCCAGTGGGGGGCGTGCAGGAGGCAACTGATCGATGCTTCTCTCTCATCGATGTTTCTAACTCTCTATCCCTCTCCCTTCTTCTCTGTAAAAAATCAATAAAATATATTTAAAAAAAAAAGAGTGGGAATTTTTGTACAATTCTTAATGACATGAAAGAATGCTCAGATGCCATTTTAATTCTTTATGCCTATGTTTCTCTATTTCTTTTCTTTTTTTTTATTTCAGAGAGGATGGGAGAGGGAGAGAGATAGAAACATCAATGATGAGAAAGAATCATTGATTGGCTGCCTCCTGCATGCCCCCACTGGGGATCAAGCCTGCAAACCAGGTATGTGCCTTGACGGGAATCGAGCCTGGGACCCTTCAGTCCGTAGGCTGACATTCTATTCACTGAGCCAACCGGCTAGGGCTCTCTCTGTTTCTTATATTACAGCAGTCCCTTTAACATTTCTTGCAATTCTGGTTTGGTGGTGACAAACTCCTTTAGCTATTTTTTGTTTGTGTCTGGGAAGCTCTTTATTTCACCATCTATTTTGAATGATAGCCTTGCTGGATATAGTAATCTTGGTTTCAGATCCTTGCTTTTCATTACCTTGAATACTTCATCCCATTCCCTTCTGGCCTGTAGAGTTTCTGATGAAAAATCAGCTCACAGCCTTATGGGAGCTCCTTTATAGGTAACAGTTTGCTTTTCTCTTGCTGCCTTTAAGATACGCTCTTTGTCTTTAATTTTTGGCATTTTAATTATGTTGTAAATAAATAAGTACTATCAGTAGTAACCTTAAATGTAAATGGATTAATGCTCCAATCAAAAGATATATGGTAGCTGAATGAATATGAAAACATGACCCAAATATATGCTATCTACAAGAGACCCATCTCAGAACAAAGACTCACACAGGATGAAAGTGAAGGGATGGGAAAAAATTTTTCCATGCAAATGGAAATGGAAAAAAAAAAGCTCAAATAAACTCTTACAATAATTCTCTACAAGCTTGTTTGTTTCTTTTTTAATATATTTTTATTGATTTCAGATAGAAACATCTTCCTCTCAAAAGAGACCAAGTCAACAAGAGGATATAACCTTGGTAAACAAATATGCACCCAATATAGGAGCACCTAAATATATTTTTAAAAAAACTTCTGGAGGACTTTAAGGGAGAGATCAAAAGAAATACAGTCATAATAGGGGACTTTAACACCCCACTGGATAGATCTTCCAGACAAAAAATCAACAAGGGCCCATGCAGCATGGTTCAGTGATTGAGCATCAACCTATGAACCAGGAGGTCATGGTTCAATTCCTGGTCAAGGCACATGCTGGGTTGCAGGCTCTATCCCCAATAGGGAGTGTGTAGGAGGCAGCCAATCAATGATTCTCTTCATCATTGATATTTCTATTTCTCTCTGTCCCTCTCTGAAGTCAATAAAAATATATGTATTTTAAAAATCAACAAGTGACACACTGGATCAGATGGATTTAACTGACATTTGCAGAACATTTCACCCTAAAGCTGCAGAATATACATTCTTTCAAGTGCACATGGGTCATTCTCAAAGATAAACCACTTGTTAGGACACAAAACAAGTCTCTACAAATTTAAGAAGATTGAAGCCATATCAAGCTTCTTCTCGGATTACAATGGCATGAAATTAGGAATCAATTGCAATAAAAACACTCAAAAATATTCAAACATTTGGAGGCTAAATAGCATGTTATTAAACAACTAGAGCAGTGATGGTGAACCTTTTGAGCTTGGCGTGTCAGCATTTTGAAAAACCCTAACTTAACTCTGGTGCCATGTCACATATAGAAATTTTTTGATATTTGCAACCATTGTAAAACAAAGACATATTTTTGATATTTATTTTATATATTTAAAGGCCATTTAACGAAAAATCAACCAAAAAATGAGTTCGCGTGTCACCTCAGACACGCGTGTCATAGGTTCGCCATCACTGAACTAGAGGCATGGTGCACGAAATTCGTGCATGGGAGGGGGGAGGTCCCTCAACCCAGCCTGCACCCTCTCCAATCTGGGACCCCTCGGGGGATATCTGACTTCCGGTTTAGGCCCAATCGCCTGCCTGCCTGCCTGATCACCCCTAACCACTTCTGCCTGCCAGCCTGATCACCCCTAACCACTCCCCTGCCAGCCTGATCGATGCCTAACAGCTCCCCTGCCATCCCGATTGCCCCCAACTGCCCTCCCCTGCCGGCCTGGTTTTCCCCAACTGCCCTCCCCTACTGGCCATCTTGTAACCACATGGGGGCGGCAATCTTGTGTGAGGGTGTGATGGTCAATTTGCATAGTATCTCTTTATTATATAGGATGAATGAGCTACCAATGAGATTAAGAAAGAAATATTAAAACTTCCTGGAAACAGATGAGAATGAACACACAACAACCCAAAATCTATGCAACACAGCAAAAGCAATTCTGAGAGGGAAGTTTATAGCACAACATGCCTACCTCAAAAAAACAAGAAAAATTATTAATAAACTACATAACCCTACAACTTACAAAATTAGAAAGAGAACAATAAGAAAAGCCCAGAGTAAGTACAAGGAAAGAAATAATAAAGATCAGAACAGAAATAAATTACATAGAGACCAAAAAATAATAATAATACAAAAGATCAATGAAACCAAGAGCTGGTTCTTTGAAAAATGCTTAAATGGGAGGGGCAAAACCAGAATACAAACTTTTATATACATAGATTAGTACATAGAAAGAATTACAGAGGAAAGATTAGGGTAGTAAATATAGTAATCCATCTAACTATCTTCAATTAGCTAAAACTTTAACTATCTAGAACTCAATCTTGAGTGGTTTTTGGAATGGAGTCCCAGAGGATATCTGAGGAGCAGTTTTCTGTTCTCAGGTAGTTGTTACCTAGCTCTTAAGGGAGCACAAGTCTGTTTTCATCACAGTTCTAGTCAAGCAACTATTGTTTGGGCTCAAAGATGGTCTGATGGAGGGAGAAAGACAGATAATTATGCTCTAGTTGTCATTGCATATTTCATCCATCTGGTTCTGTCTTTTCGGAGTAGTATATAGACAGACACATGGCTCCAGAAAATGTTCTTTGTCTTTAAGCTTATAAGTTTCGATGGTAAATCAGAAAGCTAGCTTTGTTCATCTCCATATCACAGGAATGGGTTCTTCCAAATGCTTTTTAAAATGGCTAAATTCCAACCTGTGCCCTTCTGTTGCTTCAGTGTCCCTAGTGAGCTACTAGTAACTTATGTTTAAATATATTCATCCTTAATGTATCTTGGGTTTTAATCTCTCCTAGATTTCCATCTACAGATGACTGGTATCAGTGGGAACTGGATTAAAAAGAAATCAGATGGGAAGGGAAGGGGGGGGGGGGCTGGGAGAAAAGGGGTAA